CACTTCATTTCTCAATAATTTTCTTCCAAACCGCTCAAATTTAATTAACATTAAAGCGTATTTATCATCTGGTAAATCGATTTAATAACACAGTCGAATTTTTATTTAATAATTCAATCCTTTCCCCCCTTTTAACGTTCCCTAAAGAATCCGTTTCTGTTCTCAGAATCGATAATTTATTCAGAAAAATTCCTATAACTGCTTTCTTTTGTTCTGTTATATATTAGAAACTGGTGACGAGTTCAATCTGGTAGTGTCCAGGAATGTTACCTACTTACTTCTACTGTCTTCTACGATAACTATCTAAGATAAAAAATGAGCTTAGCATCACTTCTGTCTTACTTTAATCGTCAAACAAGTAAGAAATAACGAACAATCCCGCATCCGGAGGAGGGAGATTACAAAAAATAAAAGAGGATGGAGAGCATCCCAAATCATCCTTTTCTCGTCTCTATTTCTAATCTGTCTAAACTCACGATTCCAATTTATAAATCGACGACTAGAGAATTAATTCCTTTCCTTTCTAAGTTTAATTTGACTTTTTACAATTATAACTGTCGAGGGTGGTTGGTCTCGTGATTTACCTATCCATAAAGAATTTGACTTTACTAAACTATCTTACACATAAAAAACTATTTTATTTATTAAATATATAAATTAATCGCGTATAAAGGTCAAGGATTTTTATTTCATATGCATTTAATTATACAGGAGATCGTATAGAAATCTTAAAATCACTCTCCACTTTTCAAGTTTTTATTATCTTTCTATGGATATTTTACACGGATTTTTATTAGAAACATAAAATAATTTTAAAAGTTTCATTTGTTTTTAAGTGCTTTTATGTTTAAAATCACTTGGTTCATCTTAAAGATCACTTAGAAGGGATGGAGATGGAGATTTCAAACGTTATAAGTTTAACAGTTACGAGAGACATTTTGCAGTTTTATTGAATTTTCCGTTTAATTATTCACTTAATTTACCATTTTTAGTTAATATAATTGATAAAATTTGTTAAATAAATTCAAATTAAAACTAAGAAGAGATGGAGAAAAAAGAAAATTAATGGTTTAATGCACGAAGGGAGAGAATAAACAACGTCTTTTAGTTAAACAAACATCGTTCAGGTTTTATAGCTTTGTAAACAAATTTTATCGATAAAAATCCGATGAAGTTTTATTTTCTAAATTTTAATTACTTAATTTTGTTGTGTAGAGAATGCAGACTTGAGTAAACATCATGAATAAGAGTAGCTTGTTGTTTAATTGAATAACATTGTTNTCTGACAAAGTAGAGAAAGATATAAACAGAAATCAATAAAAGTAAGGGCATAGAGAAATAAAAAATCGAAATGTCTTTATTTTTACAATTATTGCAGAAAGTCGTTTGTTACCGAGTGAATAGGCGCAGCCACAAGAGGCCTATTGGATAAAACCACTAAACACTGGTAGTTGGTCGTGAGTTCACGCCTGCCAACGGGCTGGCTAGGTGGGAATTCCTTCACGTTTTTAACAGCTGAATAGGATCTAGTTCTACATTGAAATCCTTTTGGGAGGCATCTTCCTAGGCAGATCGCCAAATTGTCCATAACTAAATAAACCACAATCACAAACCTAATATATGGTGAAATTTAAAATATCATTGCATATGTTATTCGTTTATTCGATTACTTTAATTAAGAAATAATTAAATATAATTAAAATGTAATAAATGTAATTATTTTAGAAGCATTTGGAGATGGATGGAACGACGTAACACTTAGTGCAATCTGATAAGAGGGATTGCCTCACGAAACGATTTTCTATGGGAGACTGTCCCCTATTTACGTGTTAGATAGGTGAGGAAATTTGGAAAATTTCACGTGCTAGGTAAACTATAGTAAGTATTTAAATACTTACTACATACATCCATTATACAATGGATCAAACTCCAAATCTTCATCACCCACAACACATCGGACAAGAAGAGGATGGAGATGGACTTGTACTATAAGAAAAAGAAAGTTAAAACGAGCAATTATTTATTGGAAGTCACGTAATTTAAAAAAAATCACGTGACTTCCGGTCTATTCGGAAGTTCGTATACAGTTAATCGAGATCTCCGGCGACATTTAAAACCGCGCGTGTGGCGCTATCTGTTACGATGTTTTATTACTAACACGTTTTTATATTTTTAATTATTATAAAATAACAAAAAAAACTTAATTTTGAGGGTAGGATTAATGCTAATAACGAGTGAAATTGTCATTAATGATATACAATGATATCACTATTAGAGGTAATAAGTTCTAAACATCATTATAATTTATGGTATAAAAAAGGGACTGCATTTATAAATTTGCAGACCTGTACATTCCCACTGCTGTCCGTTGTCTGTCCATCTGCCCTTCGTTAATCTCGAGAATGAATTTAGATGATGAAAATCAAGACCATATACGAAAAGCTTAGGGGAAACACCGAGATAGATAACCGGCATGACACTATTGTTATCAGGAGAAGTATGATGTACAGGGGCAAGACATTACTAAAATCGAGACCATATATAGAAATCTTATGGACTGGAGATCATGATTAACTATATACAATTTATATAAATTGTAGAGATATTTTTTAAATTCAAATTATTTAGAATATTTCTATAATCTTGGTGAGTATTATCATGTAGCATTCGAGAGACATTGAGAGAGTCACGTATATTTGAAAGTCTTTGACATTTCTGAAGTAGATGGTCGACTGAAGATTCTCCTGATTTTCACCATGGGCAATAATTATTTGATAGATTAATATATATATATATATATTATTAATATACAGCGAGAATTTGTTTAGTCGTAATTGTGATATTAGTCTTTTCACGTTGAAGTTGATTGTTTTTATCATATAAGGTTGTACAGATGGGGTTTTTAAAGAAAATTTTAAATACCATGGATGATAAGTATTATAATTTAAACTGATTTGATCAGCATTTATAGACTGAGAGATGGCTGAATCTATTAGCGTTGTATATCCAAATTTCCAATCCCGGATACTATCTTTGAATAACAATTCTGATACACCAAAAGAATTTAGTATTTTATTTAATTTAGTTTGCCAAAGATTCTAGTTTATACAAGTAGTCAAGTCCCCAGATTGAAGATGCGTAGTATATGATTGGATTAATAATTAAATTATAGAGCTTCATATGGGTAGTTAAGTTAGAAATTTTTAATTTAGAATATAAATATAACAGATTATCTATGGCAAGTTTTACCTTAATTGTTCAGTAGACTAATATTTAAAACCGAGGCTTTATTTCGTTATTATTTTTTATATACAGATGAAAATTTTATATTATTATTATTATTACATTTCAAATATAAAATATGATTTCTCTATTATTATTTTTATATTCTATTCTAATTCTTATTTTAAAAAATATTTAAAAAGTAATTACTTAACACTTAAACTGCTTCGTATTCTGTGTTTATTTTATAAATTTGTAACTACTTGAAGTACAAATAATTGAATTTTAAACTTAAACATTAAAAATTAACTTTTAAATTTTTTTTTAAATACAAAATAATTAAACAAATAAACTGTTCAATGACGGTTTTACGTATATAATGCATACACTTTCAGAGCCGTGAAGAGGGGGAAGTTGGGGATTTTTCCCTAGCCCCGGAAAAAATTTAGGAGCCTGTATTGATTCCTACTCTTATATAATTAATTCTGTTTTTACTTACGGAAAATAAAACCTTTAAGACTGATTTTAATCAATAAAATCTCTCAACTGCACTGCATACATTTAGTAAATATAATAGTAATTTTCTTATTACTTACTTCCTATTATTTTATTTATTCTCAGCGTCAGGAAATTCTTAATCGAAAATTGAGTTAAGGTTATTTATTTTTTAAATTCTTTAGATTATTTTCTAAAGTTTAGACAATTTTATTTTATCCGAGTAAATCAGAAAATGAAAGAGTTAATTAAGAAATCGATGAGGGGGGAATGACATTACATATTTTTCTAAGCAAATATTTTTTTTTTAATGAAAAAAATAAGAGAAATTTCTTATAATTCAACAAAATATACATACCTTTTAAACTATTATAATTATTTAAATTTTATAGCCTAATATAATTAGAAATGATCGAACCTTTCTTACACATCTGTAGAACCCCTTTGTCAGCTTGTTCTGTTTAAGAGATAAAAAAAATATTGTGCATCGCACCTGCCTTTATATTATTCGAGTTTTGTGCTATTGTATTCAGTAAATTGACAAAAATAATATGTTTTTGTCACATTAAATAAGTTGAAACTTAGCTTTTTTTTAATAATGATAATAGAACGAAGTTAGATAGATAAAAATCGAGACCAGGTGTGGAAAGCGTAGGGCAGGAGGGCCTGATTAACTATACACAAACTTCCCGTCGGAACCGGAAGTCACGTGATCGGATTTCAATTCAAAAAATTTCTCTAGAATGGAGTTGGCCTGATCTGTATGACTCCGTTGTTATAAGGAAAAGTATGATTTACAGGGGCAAGACAATACTACAATCGAGAGCATATTTTTATTTAATTTATAAAAATTTTTGTTTGTTACAAATTTAATTTTTCTTTTATTTTTTACATTTAATTTGTTTTATTTTTCTGACATAATTTTTTATATTTTGATTTAAATAAATTTAAAATATGATTAAAAATTGCAGCACGGCATTGTGACGATGTCACAGTAAATAATTGCTCGTTACAGTTTTATATGTTTTTCTTTTTGTTAGCCTATGTTTGTTTATAACACTTGTCCTTTAGATAAATGTAAGTAATGGAAGTTTTTACAAACGTCGAGAAGATATTACGATAATTAATTTACTTTGAAAAAATGAAATTAATCTAAACAAAAATTAAACAAAATAAGTAAAGATTCGGAGTAATTTTATTTTATAAATAATAATTCACAAATTATTGTTAAACGAATGAAAAACCAGGTGTTGCAACACTGGAATTTCATCGCCAACTGTTTTACACGTTAGTTCAAGCTTCATAATATATAACGAAAGGTCAGTTATTATTTTATTGCTTAAATAAATTATTTTAAATTTAATTAAAAACAAATTATTTAATTTTTTCTAAAAATCAAGAATCACTTTTCTAGTCTTTATTCGATGTCTTGATTAATTAATGTAACATTTTATATTACCACTTAAACCGTTAGATTTAATGTAAAAGTTATTATCATTTTAACATTTATTACATTATTTTACACTCTTTTTTTCATAAAAAAGCATAAATATACAAATTAATTCTCTACTAATTCAATATATGAAGTAAAAATGACATAAATATTCTGTTTATTAGTCTCTCTCCAAGCATACGTAATGTTTATAATAAATTTATTTCTGGCTTTAAACTTTCATAAAATATGGAAAATTCAAGATAAAATATTGTAAAACAAAATTAAATAATTAAATAATGTTTAATTTAATAATTATGTATCTTATAGACATAATAAATTCGCTATTACGAATATATCTCATAGACAAAATTATGATATTAAATGTATAAAGATGTGTTTAACCTGTTATAAGAAATTAGAATATGAAAATATATTTAAAATTTGATTGTGTGTGGGAGAAATTAATGTTTGATAATCCAAAACACGCTTCTATCATATTTTACCAGCTGTTATTATAGCAATAAGTTCAATGGAGTTACGTGGCTTAAAAATAATAAGCATTCTCTTTTATTTTGTGACTATTTCGGCTTTTTTAAGCGGTAAGTGTACCGTACAGTATCATTTTTTTATTATTACTAATGGTATATAAATTAATAAATTATAACCTGAATAAATTAGGTGGAATCGACGTAATTTATCCTTCAGTTATAACACTAAGATCTGGAGCGAAAATTCTCAAATTTCGACTTTTAGAAGAGGATGTAGAGTTGAGATTGGAACCGGCTGGCAAAGTCATTTCGGATAATTTTACTGTTGTAAATGGAAAGGGAGAAAGAGATGAATCGGTATAACAATTTTTATATTAATCTTTAAAAATATTTTACATAAAAAAACGTTTATTTCATTTCGTAACTTAGTGTTTCCATAAATTATATAACGCAGATATGCATGTAGGCAATCGTTACGACGCGTAACAAGGGGTGAGAGTTTTTGAAGTGTTGTGTGGCAAACTGTATTGTTTGTACACTCTGTTATATAAGTAATTAATAAGATAATGTAACCTTTATTGTTATATATTATTCTTTAGTACAGTTAACGGGTCAATCGAGAATATTCGTTACGAAGTTTTCGGGGTGTTACGGAGCATTACAGGAGTAGATACCGTAGTTAAAAAGTATAAAATAGTGTTACGTAATTTACGGACGATCTCTTACGTTTAAAAATATTTTAGTGAATTATTTTATAGTGAGAATAAATCATAATCTTAATTAACACTGAGAAGATCTTATTTAAATGGTCTTAATGTTAGTCACAATTTGAAAAATGTCTCATCTTTTTATTATGTCGTGAAGAAGATGATTTGCTTCATAACAAACCTTACATTATTTTTTAATACGTGTAGTCTTCAATATACAATTGAATTAAAATATTTTTCCCTGAATAGTGTTAGATAGATGACCGGCACGACTCTACTGTTAAAGGAAAAGTATGATGTACAGGGGCAAGCCACTACTAATTTGAGGTGGAGAGCATATTAATTTATAAGTATAACATAAAATACATTGTTTCGTACCGAATTATCAATACTACTGATCATTATCATCAGATATTTTGATGTGATTCTCCATCCTTCTACTCTTCTCGTATTATTGAAATATTTTTATAACTTTAATAAATCTATCATTTTAATGATTGAATTGTTTCTTATCACCTTTCTAGCATAAAAACTAAAGATGATTCAAAAATAACAGTTTATATTTACTTGTTGATCTTTTTTATATTTTTTGTGTTATGAATACGTATGTGTGTGTTGACGTCTATTTCGCTTAATATCTCAGGACGGGATGGAGATAAAAAAAAAAATTTGGCATTTTAGCCTGTATATATGGGGCATTGATGCTACTAAATTTTTGTTAAGAAAGGTCAAGGGAATGGAGAGTTAGAGGGTGGTCACGTAATATATTAATATTTCGTGAGGTATCATAATTAATGGAGATTTTTAGCGTTTACAGTATTTTATAAAACTCATCTCTGTCTTCAAAATAAAGTCTTTTGCTATTTTATAACAATTAAAAATATATAAAGTTTTTATGACAAAATCTCATAAAAGATGGCGCCACATACAATTGTAGTTATTTATTTTGATTAATAATGCAAATGTGATTTTTTAAATAAAATCTCATAAGTCAGCTTGTTCTGTTTAAGAGATAAAAAAAATATTGTGCATCGCACCTGCCTTTATATTATTCGAGTTTTGTGCTATTGTATTCAGTAAATTGACAAAAATAATATGTTTTTGTCACATTAAATAAGTTGAAACTTAGCTTTTTTTTAATAATGATAATAGAACGAAGTTAGATAGATAAAAATCGAGACCAGGTGTGGAAAGCGTAGGGCAGGAGGGCCTGATTAACTATACACAAACTTCCCGTCGGAACCGGAAGTCACGTGATCGGATTNTTATTAAATATTTCGTTAAGGCTTATTTTTAAGGTTATTTTATATTTATAAATTAGACTAGGCTATCTAGAGCCTAATTTATGTACTGTACAAGCGTTAAACTGCAGATCAGTCTCGGGTTACGAAGAATCTTGTTAAAGACAGTTTATACAGATTGAACCTCTGGGATATGGCCATTGCCGGAATACAGAAATTGACCTTTAAATAAGAAAATCACACGTTTATCCATACAGCTTCATATCGTAGTATTATCAAAGCTCCAGGAAATAATATAACTATTAAAAGTTCCAAACATGACTTTTTTAATCGTTTCGTGTAATATAAAGCTCAAAATCAGATACTTTTTAGTTCCTGTCGCTCAGATTATATCAGAAGTCAGCAGGGCCAGCAGTATGTTCAAGATATACAGGGTTATTAGGGTCTATATTCTCATTAGGTACAGTACTGTACGTGTACAGTGCATCAGAAACAGAGGAGGTACAGCAAAATGGATTTTCTATGTTGGAATGAGTAATTATTGACCGACTTAAACTACATGTAACTTGCTTCTGGTAGCTTTAACAGACCACAGAATGCCGGATTAAAAAGTTTAACATTATTATTTTGTAACGGAGGAAGGGACCTTGAATGTTGTAATGCAAAGCCACATTACGTTTAAAACTAGCTTTGAAGATCTTTTTCTTATCAGATTTGAAATTATTATTATATATTTATATAATTAAGTTAATTTAGAATTATTGAATAGAAGTAATTCAAATATTGTTCTTTAATATGTATTTAAAGATTGATGTGAAACAGTTAAAGAGCAAGTTGTATAAAAATGAAAAGATAGGAGCAGCTCTTCATATAGACGAAGGAAAATCATTAAAAGTTGTTAGTATCTTTGTTTATTATTCCTAAATCGTTATGCCGCATATAATTCTAAATTATTTAATATTTTAGCATGGAATTATAAATTCCTATCTAAGAATTGAACCGTTTGGGCCAGAAGAAATGGCCAGGAAAGGGAAAAGAGCGCATCATATTATAGAACTTAAGAAAGATAAAAATGTTTACATTAAAGATCAAGGCATGTAATGTAATTTAAATTTTATAAATTTATAATTAATTTATTACGAATATTAAATTTATGTTTACAGTAATTCCGAAGAAATTAGAAAAGTTATTAAATCCCAAAGCGAGAATATTAAATAGTAACGAATGCCTGGTAATAAAATATGTATTTATAACTGAAAGTACCTTTACAGAGAGTTTCATCGAGAGGAATATCGGGTTAACAGATTATGTAGCAACTATGTTTGTCCAAGTAAACTTTACAATATAAATTCTTAAATTAAAATGCATAATTTCAAGCTCAATTGATCAACTTCTTGAAAATATATTTCAGGTTCAAAATCTTTTTAATACATTAGAATTAAACATAGAAATCTGTATGGTTGGAATTTTAGCTTATACGGTAACTCACGTACTAAATAATTATAAAAATTATTGATAAGATTATTTATATTTTTGATATTTATATAGAAATTGGACGAAGCTTCCTTTATCGAACAGAGCGTTATTCCGGGGTATGAAGAATATTTGAATTGTGAGGATTTGTTAGATAACATGGCTATTTATTTTTACAGTAATCCTATTGAATATCGACATGTTGAATGGGCTGATATGGTCATACTTTTGGTAAAGTAAGTATTGAATGCGATAAAAAAGTACTTCCTATTAAATTAATTCTATGTAATTGCAGACGAAAATGGGGTGACTTGATAAATGGCGATGTTTATGCTAATACTGCAGGTTAGTCTTTAGTGTTATTAAGTTTATGCTTCCCGAAAAATACTTTTAAATTGTATCTTTTCAGGTATTTCGTTCGTCGGAGGAGTCTGCGATGGAAGGTACAAATACGGAGTCTGCGAAGACGATGCAAATTTTATGGAGAGAGCCGATACCATCGCTCATGAATCAGGACATTTGTAAGCGGGGCTGACAAATTAATGTACAGGGTGACAATATAATTGAAAGTTTTCCTATTTAGAACATCCCATGACCTTTAATTCTGCCAAAGTTGCAACATTTCCATATAAGCCAAAGCTCCCAATAATGGAAGTTTTTGAACTAAAATTTGCTTAGTCCGTATACAAATTCTGGTGTCAATCTGCCATAGAAGTGCTCAGAATAGGGAAACTTCAGTTAGGACCATCCTGTATTTTTTAAATTTTAATTTATGTAGCAACTAAATACATATTTTTATAGACTGGGATGCCCTCACGATGGCGAAGGTCCCGCTCCGGGTATACCGCACAGTCCAGGATCAGAAGAGTGTCCTGAAAGTCAAGGATATTTAATGAGTAGTAGCCAAAGCAAGGAAAACGGGCAGAAATTTTCACCGTGCTGTCGAGAAAACGTTCAGAATTTGTTATTATGGTAATTGCCATTTTATCGATTTTTATTCCAAGTTAATAAATGGCTGCTGAATATTATAATTTTTATTTAACTAGGATAGAAACAGCTCAATCTATTATACAAATCTGTAAATTTGAGGGTGACGATAATGATAATCATTATTACAACGATGAAGATTATCAAGTAGACAATTATAATGCCGATAATGATTAATGCAATCATTTTAAATTTTCTTTGTAAAATTCAGCATTTTGTCTGTAATTTGCTAGTAAAAATTATAAAATATTATGGAATATTTATTCATAAGGCTTTACCATTGAAAGTAAACGTTATTAATAAAAATATACTTTTATAAATAGGCCTAATATTTTTTTATCTTCATTACTTCATTAGAAGAATATGTAATCATGTTAATTCTCCGCTAACTTTGCGTTGAATTTACCAAATTTCCTCTAAGAACTGATGGTTCCAAGACTGACTATTTTGTTTATAATTAATTATGGATTAATATTGTTCTCGTTACTTTAAAACAATCAAAATTTTAGCACATATTTAATACTAATTACATTTGAGATAAGTACTATTACATCTGTAATTAATTTAAAATCTTTTAGCATATGTTAAATATAAAAATATATTTTAAAATGGCATACTCAGTACATTGTAAATCAATTAAAACTTATGTTTTTTTGAACATATTTCTATTTTATACTGTTTAATCTTCTTAGCTTCTATGAAAAAACTTTGAAATAAAGGCAAATATCTTTATTGGGAATGATAGGATAAATATTTATCCAATACATTCTTACTGACGTCCGTCTGTCTGTCCTTCGTTAACCTCTAGAATAAAATTAGAAAGATGAAAATCGAGATAACATGTAGAAAGCTTAAAGGATGTCAGTTGCCTTACAAGTTTAAACAATTAAAAAATAAAACTATTAAAACACCGAAAAACGAACAATTATTTATTGTCACTTCGTCACAATGCCGGGCTGCAATTTATTAGATCTCGATGTACAGTACAGTGCTCTTTATTTTAGTAGTGTATTGCCCCTGTACATCGTACTTTTCCTGTTAACAAGCGAATTTTGCAATGAAGCAAATTTTTGAATTTAAATAACGTGACTTTCGTTTTAAACCATAAGTTCGTATATACTTAATCATGGTCTACGGTTCCTAAGCTTTTCATATCTGGTCTCGATTTTCATCTATTTAACTCTGTTCTCGANTGGTAAGAGTATTACTATTCCAATAGCGTTGTAAATATAAAATACGTTGGTATCTATAAAATTAAAGCGTAGCTAATAAAATCAATTGGTTTTTTTTAATGTGCCGCACCCGTTTTTAAAAAGTTTCTAGCTATACGATACGTATTTAATATTATTGTTTTTTTTTATGGCGTGATGCATGTATTGTAATTAAGTTTTACTGTTTCTGGGCTTTTGTATAATACATGCAATTTAATATCTGAGGCATTGCGAAAATCTTATTCAGACGTTCTATTTTTTGCGTGGAAAAATTATGCCCTGAAAAATTAGAATTGGATTTATGATGTAAGGTAACAATATGTCAAGGAAGATGCTTACCGGGAGGACTTTTCTATGACAAATCCCTTATTTAGGTGTTAGATACGTGAAGAAAGACGGAAAAACTCAACGTAAAGTTTTTCGTATGACCACATATAGTTTTCTTGCACTTTGTCACTTGGAACTTTTGGGAGAAGAAGCCGTCGCGTCCTTGAATGTCCGGGGTTTTATCCGTTCTCCTCCGATACCAGGAAGAATAGACAGAATTTATAGATATGCAATTTTAAAATTCGAGCCCAATTATTAATCTATTGTTTTATCTTTATATAATCCTACTGAAGATACTTACAAAGCAGTTAAATAACTATTTAAAGTTAATTCGTTTAAAAAAATATTCCTTTCGATTCTAAAGTGTATGGAATGAATTATTTTACATCGGAAAAACAGTGAAAATTTCACTGATAACACTTTAATATTTTTTAATTATAATAAGTGGGTAGTGAACGTAATAAAATTTCCGGAGAAGACATCGTAACTTCTTCACATCTGTATCAGTTACATTAACATCTGCTTATTATTTCTTTTATAATATTCAAAACGATAAAAAAATTCAAATTAGAAGTATTATAATTAAATTATTTTGAAGTAAAAATAATATATTTATCGTTAAATTTATTTATTTATTTTTCATTAATAAAAATAAATTTAAATTTGAAAACGGATTCGGACTTCACTGGAGATTAATTGTAATTTTTTATAGTATCTTCGCTCATTTCATCTTATATATGTGGATATAGGTTTTTTTATGAATAATTTACAACAATACTTACTTAGATATAACGAAAATAATATCAGCTTCATCAGTATTAAAGTTTTCTCTCGACTGGCAAAGGTAATCTCGTGCACCCCCAATTAATTTATTAGGATCGATATAGTTTTCATGACTTTTAATAGCACTATTTTTCATGAATTCCGGTTCAGTTTCTTCCTAAAGCCAAATTTAAATAATATTTATAAGAATAATAAAAATTAGAAAAATTCTCATTGCTGTATTGACTTACAGTAAAACTTATTGCCTTAACCAAACTGACTTTAATTCTCAGATCTAACGTATCCATGAAATTTTGAACCTGAAATTTAAAGAAATTTCTTTACTAAAAGTAAATTAATAATTATTTCCTTGCTTAAAATAATATTTTAAATGCTGAATAACCTGAATCAAAGTAACTGATAAATATTCTTCTAATGTTACAGTGTCATTTTCGAAGGCTTTTGTAAATTTGTTCTCTGTTAAGAATATGTATTTTAATTCTACACATTCAATATCTTCTGCAATTCTGGAGAATTTTCTATTGTACGTTTTATTTTCTACGTCAGGAGTAACAACTGCAAGAGAAATTTCATTTAAAATTAACTAGAAAATGTATTTGAAAATTACATAATGTTTATTTACTTTTACTTATAACACGAGATCGTTGGTCTTGTAACACTTCTATTATACGATGAGCTCTATTGCCATATTTATCGATGTTTTCCGTATCTAAAGGCTTAATTCTTAAATCAGAGCTTAAAATTCCGTTCTGAAAAATATTTAAAGCTGCATCATTTGTTTAAATAAATCGATGCTAATGAATAACTTACAATGGATAATGGTCCTTCTTCGTTAATATGCAAAGCTACACCTTTTTCTTTATTTCTATAGAGATTTCTCTTTAAGAATTCAATATTGATCTTCCGAAAGACAGGTAAAGAAATAATAATACTTTAATAATTCGATATCAAGCAAATTATTAATTAATTCAAATATTAAATTTGAATTTAGATACCTGTTTTTGTTTTTGATCATCGCTTACGACAACAAAGTCATCAGATATTACTTCACCTGCTGGTTCCAATTTCAGTTCTATATCTCGATCAAAAGTTCGAAATTTTATTATCTTTATTCCAGATCTTAATGTTTCTACAGACGGATACACTACATCAATTCGGCCTGTATTTTTCAAAAAAGAAACGGGTTAATGCCGCATTTAATATTAATGTATAATATAATTCTATTTACCAGTTGGAATAGCCGAAATGACCACACAGAAAGAAAAACTTAGCAAGTAGATTAACATGGTTGCTCTGTATATACGAAATGTTTCGGTTCTTTATATATATATTAAATGATAAGTCCCCAGAGAAAAAAAAAATTAGCACGTGTTATATCTCGCAGATGTTATTTTTAAGTCATAAAATCGGTTCTTGAATATGTCATTCAATCTCCATCCTGTGATAAAATTTATGATATTTCGACTTTATGACCTATTTTTATCTTTTAAAATATTTTTAATTCTATTCCGTATTTTACGATTTAAATATTTACTCTAACAACTCCGTAAATTTACAAAAAATTGTAAATTAATATCCAAAGAAAAAGAATAAAGGTTTCGGTTAAAATAATATGCAAAATAGAAATTACCGTATTTGATAATTGATTTTAAACAATTAAAATTTGATTTAGTGAAAAATCTTTGGAAAATTCTAAGATATAATTCGTTAAACATAATATGAATCAATACTGTAAATTTACTTGACTAAAATGAAAATAAAATGGACATTTTGTCATATACCTATTTATTTATTATTATAAAAATTTTATAATATAATAATAGTCCACCTAACCTATCAAATGA